GTGTGTAGATTCTGCTATTAGGTCTGTTCTAGAAGATATCAACAGCAAATTAATTTTAAAAGAGGAACAGAGAAAAGCGATCAAGGCATTTGTTAAAAAGAAAGATATTTTTGGCATCCTTCCTACGGGATTCGGCAAAAGTTTAATTTATCAGCTGGCTCCCTTGGTCATATGTCACGCACTCCGTTGCTCTTATTGGTTGTAGATCTATCCAATTGAGTGCAGAGGCATTTTTTTTCCTGGTTCGTTTGAAACACGCCCCATAATCACAGCTCTATGGAGCAGTATCAGACTCATATTCTGACTAGAATTGAGTCGGACTACGTCAGGCTAGATGGAGCCACCTACTGTATGAAGCCATTTCAGCATTTACTTTTCCTCAACATAAAAACATATATGGATCAGTGCTCCTATCTCCATTTTGTATGTCTGCTTTCAGACAGTGAATAGCAGAAGGTGGCTTACACTGACCCTGGTTCTGCTTGAGGTGTTTCCTGTCTTTTACACAATTTTAGCAAATGTCTACAGTCACTACACGTTCAGTCCAGGAGGTTTCCTTCATTTAAGAACTTTATCCAGTCCACGGTTTTGTAGAATTGTCTCTGTAAAAGTTCTTGTGATGACATGTGTACTGAATTTAAGCTTATTTTTTACATCATTTGCAAGACCATTGTGTTGCAGGTGTTGCTGTTTGGAAGGTTTGGGAGTAGAACTGAGAGTTTGGGAGAATTCATCTGGAGGCTAATCTACCCAGCTCCTGGGTTTCCTGTAGACCAAGCTGACTTAAGGATCGATGGAGGGAGGGACAGACTGATGGACGGATGACTGGATTACTTTTTTTGTTTCAATAATTTAAAACAAACCCTAAGATGTCCTGCTATATTGGGGGTATTTTTCATGTTCCTCAATGGCGTTGCAGTCAAAGGCTCCCGCACCAACCTGCAGATTATCGGACTTGCATTTAATATTCTACAATCCAGCAAAAGGACAAAATATTGATGACAGACCATTCATTATAAACATTAAAAGTTCCTTCATTGAAAAGAGTACATTTGTTGTATGTTCATTCAACTTGAGCAATCTTCAACTTTGTTGCTGCATTCTCTGTTATCATCATACACACATGCTGTGCTTTCTGATAAAGAAGACACAGATAATCTGAACTGTGTTTGTTTAAAATGAAAATAAACTTCAAGGTTTGCAGCGAATCTTCTAAGGATGAGAAAGAAAGCAGCTTGGACATGAAGATTACAGCATGTTATTGTGTCAAAAAGGTGTGGCGAAATTAGTGTTATATCACTGTAATGGCCTTGAGAGGACATAAATCTGTTCTCAGACTCTCTTCAGACAGCTGAGGATGATATAGAGGAGTTCAGAAGGCCATGAGCTGTCCTTATGAGCTGAGTGGTGACAGATGAAATAACAGCAGATGACAGGTTGACGTTGGCTCATTCCTCTGCCCGTGACTGAATGCATCTTCTCTCACACTGAACATGCTGAGCAATATTTGTAGGCAATGCTATAATCAGATTTAATATGCTCTGCTGAACAAAACTGAATCAATGTATTTGCAGATGCCAGAGAATGGCTTTTAATAAAATCTGTTGTTTTTATTTTAGTCTACAGATGGGCAATCTGTTTCTGAGTCTTCTGCTCTGACTGTCAGTGGGGGTCATGGCCTTTCACCTCAGCTGGATACCTTTTCTTGTTGGAGGAATGCTCCCTGCTGTTGTTGTTGTGCATTAGAGGAAAAAAAGCATTGTCAGGGGAGGCAGCCATATGTCTTTCAAAGTCTCCACCCAGAAAACAATGAATTAGCTCCATAATTATCTGCTTTACTCCTGACAGAATTGATTTCCTGGTGAAATGACATCAGTTGTCAGATGCGCAACAGATTTACGTAAGGGAGCTCCAGTGACCTCTGACCTCTGCTGATGAATGCATTTAACCTGATGATCCAAACAGGCCTCTTGTCCCTGCAATCTGCAGATAAATAATAGGCAGAGGGGATGAGAGGGAGGACTACTTGTTTTCAGTGTGAGTTGTTGGATATGGTTAAAGGTGGTAATTACTTATATGTACTCAGTTACATTTAGTTGAGTAATCAATAAAATGCTTTAACTGTAGCTTTACAATTATCTATTTAACTGTACATCTATTGACACAGTATATTTACCCTAAATCTTCATCTCTGGTGTTATTCTGATTTTACTTTAACAATGCCCAATTTTAGGCTATCAAGTAATATTAAGTAAAGTTGTGGTTTACTTAAGATTATTAGATATTTGTTAATTAGAGGAGTATTTTTGTTTTTATTAAGATATTATTTATGTATTCATATCTTGACAAGTGACATATAAATGATTTTGTTATTGCACCATCAATCATCAATAATAATCACCAATGATTATGATCTGTTCATCTTATTACAAGCAAGGAGGAAATACACAAGTCAAGTACTGAGAACACCTGAGTTAAAAAAAATCCAACTTTTCTGAAAAGAAATAAAAAAAATTGTTAAACATTTAGTCTTTTAATTTAATGTAAATATTAACATTATTAGCCTCGGACAAGACTAATAATTGAGAAACACCGTTTACTTAAACTTGAAAGATTGGTTAGAAAACAAATAAAATAGGATTTCTATTTACTGGAATTTTTAGCAAAAGAATATGAATAAAATGAGGGATGAAAACCATTTCGTATCATATATAGACATTAGAAAAGTTATGACAGAGATGTATAAAACCACAGGTTATATATTGGTGTCAAATATGTAGCTTCTTAGTTTAAAATGAAATTGAGGAGGCTGCAGTTCTCTTCTTATAAAAGCAGACAGAAATGACAGGCCAGCTGCAGAAGATTCACACGGTTTCCGGCAGATACAATCTGATTTTAAGCTCGTGTTTCTTAAAGGCACCTCTAACAAGCCAATATTTTTTTTTTTTTTTTGAAAAAAGTGACCAAAAAAAATCAGACAGAAACACTATATCTAATCCTATAATACTCAGGTTCTGTGTCTGCTTTGACAAGTTCTTTATGAATGTCTGAGCAAGTTTTATGAGAGCTTAAAGCTGCCATATAAAGTCTTTTCATGCAACAAAATACCACCACCCCATTAACTTCATGCTTTTTCTGTTTTACACTCCTGTCAACACTGTCCAGCAGTGAATAATTTAGGATAGGCACGGTTTGGCATGCATTAAGGGAGTCATTTCTCTCCCCCCTGGTACATCTAACTCCTGCACTGTAGTGTCAGTGAGAGTCATAACCTCGTCATGAATAAAACATCTCTCCGTCTTTCGCCAGAGGAAAGCTTACATTACTGCAGTCGCATGCCAGCTGGGCCAATTTAACAGTGTATATTAATGGATTTATTTCAAAGAAACTAAAATTATGTTCATAATTGTACAGTGGACATAAATTATAGATGGATCATAACTTTTGAGTAAAAAAAACAACAACTGAAAAGTAAAGTATTCATTTATCTTAAGCCCTTCTGAAGTAATACTATGCGGCTCAGCCTTTCATTGCAATTAACACTGCAGGTTTGAGAGGGTATTTCACTACCAGGTCTGCAAAGCTAGACACCTTCATTGTGGGCCATACAGTACTTCTCTGTAAAACTATAGTTGAAGACCATCTTGGTAGAGCTGTAATTGTGACACACTCTAACTTTGTCAGTTTTTAAATGCTTAGTAATCTATGACCTATATTTGCTTTAAACATTTCGACAACTATCTCCCTGATCTCCCTGCTGTGTTTCTTCTTTGTGATCCTGTTCATTAACAAATGCTCTAAAACCAACCTTGGGAACTTCAACAGAGCAGCTGGATTTCTACTGAGATTAAATTACATTCATTTTTCAAAGAGGTTCTATAGTTGTATGTAGTATGATTAAGGGTATGTCAAGGCCTCAATGATTTTTGTCGAATTCACAAAAACTAACATTGTATACAGATTTTGGACACACCTGTAGATTAGATTTTCATTTAATCTTTGCATTTAAAGAATTCACTTTATTGTAGGTGGTAATGGTTGGCCTGCAGGCCCTGCTGATGGTTCCAGTAACAAAATATGAGACTGAACCAGGAGATCTCTGTTAGCACTGGGATAATGTGTCAGTGTCAACAGATACAAAGGCTGTCACTGAGACCGTGGGTGGGAGAAGAGGGAAAAAAGATAAAGTGTGCTGTAAAACCCTACACTGGTGAAAGAGCAATTATAAGCTCTTTGCTGTAAAGAAAGCGATTAACAGTTGAGGAGTCTACGAACCCAAGAACTGTCTGGTATTCCCAGTTTAACCAGGAAGACTCCTAAATGATCCTTTGTGGCAGTCAGAGTTTAACTCTCAGTTTATAACTCTTCACTTTCTGAGCTGGACAGCAGCCATTCTATTGTTAATGGATGATTATTGGTTTGTCTTTTTGTTAACCATTAGATCTGGAGTCCATATTTCTGTCACATAGTCAAGAGGAGATAAGCATAGCCTTGAAGGAGTTTTGAGCTCAGAGGAGTTTGAAGGAAGTCCGCCGGATTATACAGGAAATGTGTAAAACGAGCCGCTGCACAAACAGGAAGTGAGTGATGGATGGCAGCTTTTGTTGCAGAGGAAGGAGGGAATTGCTCGACAGTCTCTCAATCACTTCAGCACATGGCTAAGTTGTTAGAAATCTCTCAAGCTGTTTCTCTGCAGGAAAGAGACTTTAAATGTCCAATTTAAGGGCAGATGGGCAATTAGTAGTTTGTTTTCTTGACTGATTGAACTTTTGTGTTTTGTTTTTCTTTCCTAATTGTGCTTTTTTATCACTTAAAATATATCTCCCTGAATGGGATATGAAACAACAATCGAATCACACCAGTAAGTTTTTATCTTCTAGTTAAACCGAAAAGTTTACATAGGCTTTTTAAAAAGGCTCACGTTTTTTATGTCACTGTCAGTTATGAAATAAGAATAACCTTTTCTTTTGCTATTTTATATCTGCTAGAATGACAAACAAAGTAATTTGTTAAATGACAGAATGAATTAATAAAAAACTTAAATCATGATCATTATGCTTTTAAGCAATTCCTTAATGTCGAGATGATGACATCATGTCTTTGTAAGCTTTTGATAGGTTTATTGACAACAACTGAGACACATCTGTGGTGACATTCGTAAAACACTACCTCTTTGTGTAAAAAATGGGAAAGCTAAAAGAAACCAGCCAAAATATCAGGTAGAGAATCCTAGATTCGCACATGTCAGTTCACCTTAGACTTTACCTACTGACGAAATCTCTCCACAGGGGAAGCCATCTCCTCTGCTCTTCACCTGAGCCTGGCACACCTGGAGTAGAAAATCACAAACTTGCGGATGCTGTTTTTGGACTTCAGTTCACCTTTCTGTCTTTCAACACCATCATCCCACTGCATCTGATAAGGAAACTGGAACAGCTGGGCTTCAATACACCGCTCTGCAATTGGCCTCTAGACTTCCTCACCAACAGATCTCAGTCAATCCAGGTCGGACACAACACCTCTGATGTCATCACCCTGAGCACAGGTTCCCCTCAGGGCTGCGTCCTGATCCCCCTGCTGTTCACCTTGATGACACAGGTGGTGGGCCTCATCAGTAATGACAATGACCAGGACTACAGAGAGGAGGTGGAGCAGCTGGTGGACTGGTGCAGAGATAACAGCCTGATACTGAAGGTGGAGAAGACGAAGGAGATCATCTTGGACTTCAGAAAGAACCGGCCTAACCACGCCCCATTGGTCATCAGCAGCTCAGCTGTAGAGGTGGTCAACAGCACCAAATTGCAGGGGGTGCAAATCACAGACACCCTCACCTGGACTGTAAACACCACCTCACTTGTCAAAAGGACACAGAAGTGCATGTACTATCTGCAGAAGATGAGAGCCCGCCTGCCCCCACAACCTTCTACAGAAGCGCCACAGAGAGTGTTCTGACCAGTTGTCTCACTGTGTGGTGTGGAGGCTGCAGCGCTTCAGACTAGAAGAAGGTGAGAAGAGTAGTGAGAACTCCTGAGAAGATCATCTTCCCTCCATAAAAGACATCTCATCCCAGGGCTGCGTGTCCCGAGCACATAGCATTATAAATTACCCCTCACACCCCCACCATGGACTGTTCTCCCTGCTGCCCTCTGGGACGGCCTTCAAAGCATCCAATGCAGGTCTTGCAGATTCCGAACCAACTTCTTCCCCACCGACATCAGATAGCTGAACTGTTGAGAAAACTATAAATCATGACACAGACTCGAACTGATAACACCGAACCAAAACACTGCATAATTACACCATATATATTTAATGTTCTGAACTTCCATGTCAATGCGTTTTCTTTTTTCTTACAATAAAAGTTGTTGAAGTCTAAGTCTAATTCACCCTTGTGTACAGTTTTTAATTGAATCAAGGTGCAATATTCACCTGTTGAAACATTTATAAGCAAGTATAAACACCAAGAGGCTGTCCAGCCACCATACCGTTCAGGAAGGAGAGGAGTTCTGCATCCCTGAGATAAATTTGCTTTGGTCCAAAATGTTGCAACCAAAGAGCAAAAGTAAAGACCTTGGCTTCTGTCTGTAGCTGGTAATGTCTATCATTATCCACAGCTAAACGAGTGCTTGAATGACATTGGCCAAAAGGCTTAAGAAGAAGAAGTTGAAAGGAAACCGCTACTCCAAGAGAAATTCATAAAATCTACATTACCGGTACATTTTGCAGATCTACACAGGGACAACAGTATTACTTTTTGGAGACAAATCTGTCATATGTGACAGAGAGGGGAAAAGGCTTATGTGTCTTTTATATAAATAGAATTTTAAATCCTCCTTCTCACATATAAAGCCTTAAATGGCCAAGCTCCATCTTATATCAGAGATCTGATTGCTCCTTAAATCTCCAACTGAACACTTTGCTCTCAATCTGCAGGTTTACTAGCAGTTCCTAGAATTTCTAAAAGTAGAATGGGAGGCAGATCTCTTTAGTTATCAGGCTCCTCTCCTATGAAACAACTACCAGTTTTAGTCGGTGAGGCGGACACCCTGTCTACTTTTAAGGGTTGGCTTAAAACTTTCCTTTTTGATAAAGCTTATAGTTAGAGTGGCTCAGGTTATCCTGATCTATCTCTATAGTTATGCTGCTTTAGGCTTAGACTTCTGGAGGACATAGGGACTCCTTTTTCATCATTCTGCTTCATTCTATCTCTATTGTCCCACTCTGCAGAATCTGTTACTTCAATCTCTAATGTTACACTCTCTCTGCTTTTTCTCATAGGAGCTTCACTTCGTCTGTTCCTGTTTGGCGGTGACACCATCTTGGAGAGAATTATCAGCTGTGCTGCTGCCATCAGCAACTTTGGTTATATATGTTTGAGATCGGCCTGTTTTTCAGTGTAGTCCTGTTTCTCTGACTGTGACTGGCTGGATGTGCTGTCTTCATCCTCTGATGTGGGAGCTGGCTCGGAGCTCATCTGCCTGGCTGCGTGTTTCTTGGACGGGGCCGCCTTTTGCAGTTGCCTTTTGTATCTCTGCTTTTTCCTCTCCACTGTCACTATATGCAGGGTTAGTGTGAGGGTTTGCCTTTGAGTCAATGAGTCGATGCAATCAACCGGTTTTCCTTAGATAGTAAACTTTGAATCAATTTGACTGTATGAGCTGGTGAACTGTAAAGTGCCTTGATATAAATAAACTGAATTGAATTAAATTGATATAAACTTCTGGTTTCAACTGTACATAAAGGGGATTTTCAATTATCTTTATATTACCGTAATCATATCAAATTCAGCAACTGTTTGCTTTTTTTTCTGTTTAAAAACATTGTTTCTTATTGATTGCAAATGTTATTAGCATACAACTATAAATACAAAGCTTAAATGTTGCAGAAAATATTTAGTCAAAATCTTAAAGCATAAAGAACTAAGGTCAGAGGAGACAAGGTTGTAACAAACAGAAAATCCCCTTGCAGGAACCATAGATACAATGACCAGTATTTAAATACAGTATCTGTTGCACAGAGAGAATAATCTGTATTTTACCTTATATTGATATATATTCAGTTTAATAAATCAAAGAGACTCAATGTTCTGTGTGCAGATATCAGATTGTGATGAGTTGTCCTAAAAAGGCCGATATTTTACTACTTCTATAGTTTCAAACACAAGACATGTACTGTAAGTTTTGTTTCTCACCATATGTCATTTATTTGAACATTTTGTGATAAAATGTGAAATATTAAAAGAAAAAAAACATCAACCGAAACTTCATAGAGGTTACTGCATGGATAGAGTTTTCACAATGGTGAAGATTATGGGATAAAAGTATGGAGATGTATGTCTTCAGTCAGCCCCTCCTTCACTTTATTTTGGATTTGAAATTATATTAGATTAAACAGTTTGCAATAAATCATGTCTAATTTTGTTAATCCTGCTTTATAAGGCTTGTAAGAGAAAAAATTATTTTACTAAGTTGAAATTCTGACATATCTTAGAGCAATCCTCTGCAGTCCTGGGTGGTCCCACCTGTGCTCCAGTATCAACAGGTGGAGACACATTTTCTGTTCTTCCTACATCTGCTGCAGTCCTCCTCTGTCAGCAGGAGTTAAATATTGAACTGTTCTTTGTGTGTTTAAACTGCATATTATCCTTTTACCCTTTAAAATCCATCTAATCAGTATTTCGCAGTCAAAATCTTCTGTTTGTTTGTTTGTTTGATCCATGAACTGAGAAAACCACTGATGTTTTGTTGTACATTTCTTCTCAAGAAAGAATTACAAACTTTAAAAACAGCAATTGTGACTTAAGTATCATGCCATGACGAGTTACTTACATTTAGGTCCAGGATCCTCATTAAGATTGACTTCATGGATTGCACCTATAAACCTCTCTGACATGTTTTGCTTTTATCTATATGGCATCTTAATAACTTTATATATATATATATATACTTACATATATATATATATATATATATATATATATATATATATATATGTAAGTATATATATATATATATATATATACTTACATATATATATATATATATATATATATATATATATATGTAAGTATATATATATATATATATATACTTACATATATATATATATATATATATATATATATATATATATATATATACATATATATATATATATATATATATATATATATATATATATATATACACACACATATATATATATATATATATATATATATATATATATATATATATATATATATATATATATATATATATATATATATATATATATATATATACATATTTATCAACAGTCTTATAAAGACTGTTGATAAATATTTAGCTTCATTCTTCATTCTCAGTCTATTGTCATTCAGATACACGATAACAGAGATTGATTTTTAAAAATAGCTTGATTCTAATTACTGGTTTCTTTCTAATCAGAATTAGGTGAGAACTACAGTATCCTTCATTGCAAATAATAGTATTAAAAAAGCTCAAAAGCATTTGTGTTTGCTGTTTGTTTTTCTAAATATAAATATATGCAGATCATATATATTTATTTGTATCTATGACATATGTCAGTTTGGATGCCACTTTTCCAAATCTTTGTTTTTTGTAAAAGTTCTGACCTGCAGAAAACAATCTGAGCCGATTCTGAATTGTCTGCAAGTATTAAGATATACAGGAACAGCACCTAAATTATCTTCTTTTAGCCTACTTATTGTGAGCTGACTTTAATTATTGATTTTAGGATTAAAGATTTTGCAGCATCTAAGAGAACAGTCCTTTTGAAACATTGTTCAAACATAATTTTAAAGCAAAAGCCAAATCAGTATGAGTTGGGATTATAAAGTGTGGTTTAATAGCATGTGAGGCCCACAGGATCCTTTTTCTTCCATCAGCATTTGAGGTCTGGTGAAAAACCTGCCCACAGCTCAGTGATCAGTTCATTTTTTCAACTTCTTTTTTTTTTTTTATATCTTCCTTATCCTTTTAAAAAAAATGCTAATCACAACTTGTTGAATGACATAAATAGCCTACAAAATGCCGCAAAGGATTTGTATTTTTGCAACAACACTTTAAGCTTGAATGTTTTTTATTAATAAGGAAAAAAACATTTGGAAGTACTCATTTATAAAAACACGGCTACATTCAGATTTCAAACAGTTGAAGAAATCCTGTTTCTGTTACTGAGTTTTTTTTCCTATAAAATACAAACAGAAAATAATTTACCCAAAGAAAACTCAGGGAATAGTTTGCCTTTTCTTTAAATGAGATCCTTCTTTGTTTTGATAAAACATTATAATTTCAGTTTACTGTTTAGCAGGCAAAAAAAAAATTTTTATGTATTTATTTCTTATTAATTTTATTTTCCAGAGAAATATTGAACTTCTTTAGTTTTCATGAAGATATAATTGGACAATTTTTGCCTACATTGCAAAATATTTTAATGCCACTATTATTTCCCCTTAAGGCTGCCAAGTTCCTCAAGTCAAGCATGTTCAAACATGGGCTAATTGTTAAAAACACAATAAAAATCAACTTCTTCATATTTTTTAGAGCCTTCCTGTTATCTTCAGTATTCCCTACTCTCACTTGTCTACTTGCAGATGCAATAAACCACAAAAAGCTTGATATGGAAAAAACACTGGTGCTTTT